AAAAGCCTTCAGTTAGATAATTTCTCAAAATTGTGTACTTCTTTCATGGATAATATGCTGGCTAGAACGGCTAGGAATGATTACTTAGGTATGTTAAAAACCAGGCCCCTTGTTGAATTAATACTTTTGCTCAGCTGATTTTCCCAAAGAGAACAAGGAGAGAATAAAATGTAAACTTTCTAGGTAAATAGAATACTCCAATACATGTGTTCCTTTTGGTAAAAATGTTCCATGTTAGAGGTTTCGTTGTTGTTGTTGTTTTTCCTCAAAACTATGTGTTTTTTTACTGTTTGCTAGAATGACAAGAGTGACAAAATAGCTATTCTTATATTGGATGTGCCTAGTGGAAAATCAACTGTTTATAAATATATGTCTAAGAGATAATTAAACAGAAAGATTGATCCAGGCATTGCTGTATGTGGAAGGTCAAAGAATTTTTTTTTCTTCTTTATAGTATAGAATGACCACTAATAAATTGATTTGGGAGTAGAGTAAACAGGAAGCAAGACCCTAAATACCTAAGTAAATAGGGTGGTTCCACAAATGCGATATTTCCAGTCCAAGAAAGGTTTAGGAGTTAGAGTGTTGCTGTTATGGTTAGTGGTATATTATAAACCTTGTTATTGGAGCAAGTTAGATGAACTTGATACACGCAGTACTCGAGCTGTTAGAATTAATAGGATTAGGATAAAATGTATAATCAACGTATTTATTTAAGTTTGAATATTGTGATGTGTGTAAAATATATGTGTCTTTTTTATATTTGATGAAAACTCAATAAATAGAATATTTTTTAAAAAAAGAATCACAGAAAATGACAGGCAAAGGCATAGAATCACTACATTCACAATCTTTTCCCACAAACAACAGAACACAATATTCTTCTTCAGTGCCATTATGGTTGAGCGCTGAAGCCCTGTCACCACAAGTTGTAAGAACCCAATGAGTTTACAGTGTATCCCGCACTCCCAGAACTTTTCCATAGCTTCCTATCAAAATCTAACCCACAGTTTCTCAGCCTTAATGCACTTGTATTTCCAGTTGGTTGTTCTGGCACCCTGAAGTTCTTTCAGGAGTAATCCTAAACAGGTTTACCTAGAAGTAAATCCTATGTTCTTCAATGGGGATATCTCCATGAAAGTGTCCTTAGAATGGCAACCTTTCAGTGAAATCCTAAAAACATGTTTATGGGATTAAGTCCTCTGAACAGACTTTAGTAGTATTCCAAGTAGACCTGATTAGGATAGCTCCCTTACAGCGCATTCTTAAGGAGAATTACATCCTTCTAAACCCATTGATTTAAATGGATTTAGAAGGGTGTAATTCAGTTTAGGATTACGCTGCCAGTGTAATACTTTACTATTTCAACTGTTGCTCATACAATATTGGGCAGCATTGTCCAAATGGTTCCTTTTTGGCTTAGTCTCTCAACTTTCCCAGTGCTTGGCACTCTGCTCCCAGGGTTGCAGCTCTTGGCTGCATGGCCCACTGTCCAGAGTGTCGTGGTGTGCTCAAGAGCTATTCAGTCCCTTCACAGCATTCGTATCATCTGCAACATCTTTGCCTGTATCTCAGTTCCCCAACTGACATTTTCCCAACTGTCATTCCCCCTCACCTGTCACTCACTTCCCAGCATTCTCTCATCTCCTTAGCAACCAGAACCTCTGAGTAGCCTGCTTCATCCTTATCAGGTCATGCCCAATTTAAAGTTCATTATGATAACATAATATGGTTGCAGAACCAAGGCAGGATAATTCCAACAAAGGATGTTGATCAAGTGCCTCAATACATTAATTAAGCATGTTGAGTAATTACTGGGAAGGAAAGGCAGCATGGTATAGCCCGATCTCCTCAGATCTTGGAAGCTAAGCAGGGTCAATTCTTGGAAGGGAGACCACCAAGGAAGACCCTGCAGAGGAAGGCAATGGCAAACCACCTCTGCTTAATCACTTGCCTTGAAAGCCCCTTGATGAGGCTGCCGTAAGTCAGCAGTACTTTGATGGCACTTTACACAAACACAATCAAGGAATATTCTCCCAGTGGGAGACAGCCAAGCACATGGTTATGTCTTCCAGTGTAATCAGTGGGAATTAATAAAAATTCTTAACCACTGCTGGATTATTTCCACACTTTTCTTCTGCAGCCCACATTTTACAACCAGTTAGTGCAGTGAGACAGCCCACCCACTAATAAAAGATATACTTTATCTCTGTTTCCTCTAAAGGCCTATGTCTGAAAAAGAACACACTGAAGTTTGCCACAAGGCAGACAACTAATTGTCCTTATCAGAGATACTATTTCAGCTTTATTTATTGTGATGAAGTGGTCACTGTTAAAGTACAGCATCTTGCTGTTGAGAAATTTGTTCTTTGCTAAACCAGTAGCATTGGGTGGGGGGAATCTAAGGAATAATATGTCTTTTTTCTACTGTCCCACTAACATATTTGATATGTAAACCATTACGAATAAATTACTGCTACTACAGTGCAATTATTATGTAAACTGAAATCTCCATGGCTCCGCCACAATGAAGCAAGGTGAGGCAACTTAATGCACCGCACTATGCTGTCGTCAACCAGGTGTCAAAAGGAAAGGCTTTAGAAAGTTACAGAATAAAGTGGCAAAAAAGTTTACTTGAAAGGTGGCATGAACTATGCAGCCAACATTAATGTAATTATAACCCATTGGTGTATGACACACAGTAACTAAGGACACATTCTACTTATATGTAAGCAGACCAGCATTGTTCAGTACAGTCACCCCCGACTCCCCTCAGCCCTAGAAGTCAGTTGTAGCTTAGATATCACACGAGCAAACACAGGCAGTAAAAAAAAAGCACCCAAGACCAAATAGGCTAATGAAGAAATTATAACCCTCTTACATCCAGAAGACAGAAGCCCAGAATGCCTTTTTCTAAGCTGAGGCTGTTCTAGTTATAAGCAGAGCCAACAGCTGGTCCATGGCTAGTGGGTCATTCAGTGCCTCACAGTGCCTTCCTAAGCAAAGCTGTGCCCTTCTAAGTCTTCTGAAAATCAATGCTGTGCTTGGGATGGCACCAGTGTTCCCTCTAAGCTGAGTTAGTGTGAGCTAGCTCACAGTTTTTTAGCCTCTGGCTCACACATTTTTGTCTCAGCTCAGGAAGGATGGCTCCAGAGCAAACTGATTTATGCAGGAGCCAAATTGCTCGCTCACAACTTTAATGCCAGTAGCTCACAAAGTAGCATTTTTGCTCACAAGACTCCACAGCTTAGAGGGAGCATTGGATGGCACTGTCAGTCTTCAGGTGCAGGCTACCCAGGACTTGGCAACTTAGTGTACCAGAGGATGCTACATCAGAGCCAGTGTTGTATAGTGGTTAGAATGTTCAACTAGGATCTGGGAGGCCTATGTTCATATTCGCCACGGAAGCTCGCTGGCTGACCTCAGGCCGATCACATACTTTCAGCCTAACCTACCTCACGGAGTTGTGGTGAGAATAAAACGGAGAAGAGAAGAATAGATGTAAGCAGCTTGGTGAAGTAAGTAAAATAAATAAAACAGTGCACTGCAGTCACTTGCAGATTATCTAACTAGCAAGAAAAAAGGCATTAAATGATTATCTGCTAAGATAAAAATGGAGAACTTGTGTTCCTATTTTTAAGCACAGGCTTAACAGCACATCAAATTAATAAAGACTGAAAGCCTAATCAGATAGTCTACAAATTAAAATTCCTTACTTTGGGAAATGTGTGAGGATTAGTGTCCGTTTCTCAGGAGGAAGCTTGTCTTTCTCCTGTCTAGCATGTTCTAGAAGTTGTCGTCTCATGACAGTAAAGACAGAGCGCAGCAGTGTTCTCCCAAAAACTTGTGTGGTTTCATATCGAGGTAGACTATCACAAAACTGGGGTACATTGCAGTAGCACAGCCACCTACCAGAAAGTGGGGACACAAAAATAAGAGATAGACAAGTAACCCAAGCTAAACATGAAAAAGATCTCTTTCTATTGTCTATTAACAATTTGTTTATTTATATGTTTATTGCATTTCTATGCTACATTTCCACTCCAATTCAAAGTCCCCAAGGCGGTGAACATTTAAACATTAAAATGCATGTATAAACAGTTGAAATAAAATATTTAAATGTGGGGGTTTAATGGAACATATAAGCACATAAACACACAAAAGCACACAAACAGGGAGGAGTTAGTGAGGGAATGCCAAGCAAAACAAAAAATTCTTCACCTGCTGGTGGAGAAAAAATGATCAAGGCTATCGAGCAAATCTCCCTGAGCAGGGAGTTCCAAAGTTTCTGCACCACAACCAAGAAGGCCCTTTCTTGGGTTGCCACCTGTCTAGTGAGATAGTAGGGGGACCCCAAAGTAAGGTCTCCAAAGTGGATGAATAGTGGGTCCATATGGGAGAAAACGGTTCTTCAGGTATGCTGACCTCAAGCCATATACGGGTTTTAGAGATCAATATCAGAACTTTGAATTGGGCTTGGAACCAAATTGGGAGCCAGTGTACATGGAACAAGATTGGCTTGAAATGATATTAACTATCATCTTTACAACTATTCGCTCCACAGCACAAGAAATGCATCACCACATCTTATTCTATACGGCAGTAGTCCAGAAACTCTAAACATTTTAACTGTGTAGTCATAATCTGCCCAATTAAAGGGTTCATTAAAATAAAATAAAAAACACAGTCAGAACAGATCTCCCATTAATGGCTTATTTAAGAAGTCCCAAGTTATGAAAAAAACATTAATCACATATGGATTATAGAGTGATAAGAATGAAATCATGGCAATATTCTAGCCCTGTTCTCTAACTCCCTGGAATATAGTAGCCAGAGGTTTATTGCACCTGAGGTATAGCTTTGGCTAATTCATCCATGCATAGCTAAGAGTATTTGTTACAGCATGCCTTACTTTGTAGATTGCATAAACTCAGTTAAGCCCAACAGAGTTCACATATCCTCCACCCCTGCACACAGCCAATTAATGCATGACTCCTGCTTTCATGCCACAGTTTGCCATTACAAATCCAACAAAATACGTTTTGCACATTCCCTGCAAACCAGGTATACAAAGTAGGAATTAACTGCTATCCACAGTCCTGGTTGGCAGGAAAAGTAAAATCCATAACTTTCTGCTTACAACAAAACAGCAAACTATGTTTTCCCACAGAAGAGGAGATCATGTGTCAACTACCTGCACATAAGGGAGGAAGGAGCATGCAAGCCGAAGGGTCTTCAGGCTCATTTGAGTAGTGACAAACCATGGCTTACTGTTCTATTTGAACCAAGCCAGAACTTTGGAAGTGGTCACCAAATGGCACCTGTACCTATACAGAATATAATTCCATAAGATGCAAGGGGAACCATGAAACAAAATACTGTTACCTTGTATAATTAACTTTATAGCCAGCAATGTCGTCATTAGGTGACCTCTGCCTTCGCTGGGAAGGAGTCTCCAGATGCCAATAGTTGATACGATTTAGAAACATTTTAGCCAATTCATCTATTGTTTGTCTCTCTTTTGATGGTAGGTGGCTAAATTTGTATTGGACAAAATTATTAACTCCCTTAAAGAAGAGACAGAAATTAAGGGCATGTAATTAAGATAATTAGCAAACCAACAGTTTACCTGTATGGAGAACTATGCTGCCAAAACATTATTACTATTATCAATTCTGTTTCCCCCCCATGATATCATTGGAGTTTGACTGCTGCTGGGAATCCAATATAGATGCCTCTCTGCTTCCATAAAATGGAATGAACATGACTTGGGACAGAGATCCTTAGAAATTAGCATTTACAAAAAAGGGTAGTAAGGATTATTTTTCCCCACTGGACAACACACATACATATTTTCACTAATGATCATGCCACGAGCAATTAAGATTGTTTGACAGATACAGTTCAGCTGCAAACAGATTTTAGATGCATGATAACCAACTTTGCCTTTGGGAAGAGATACCACAGAAGCAATCAGCTCGGACATTCCCCTTTAATAGTCAGTGGTGCTCAGCTGTGGCTTTTGGTTCTTCTTTTGGCATCTGAATGCATCTCTCAAGGCTGTGAATTCAGAGCTCACTCTCAACCCAAGCTACCCAACATTCAGAGTACTTAGCCTGAGGCCTATTCAGTCTAATTCAGTTCAACTGAAATGAATGACTGAAACACAAAGGCAGGTAATAAAGTTTCCACTACTGGCCACAGCAGATGAAGCGCACTAAGTGTTCCCTGTCCAACAACAGGAAAGCCTCACTTTTGCATATGAATCCGATCTGCCATCTGTTGCATTAATTTCAATACAAATAAAATGCCGCTGCTGGCTTATAAACTGCAAACATAGTTTCCCATTGGAAGACATGAGTCTACCCAGTTGCAAATAGGTACTTAATGTGTAACCCCACAAGCCTTGAACGTCAATGCCCAGCCCCAAGCAAGACGACTACTCTTATTTGTTCAGCATATGATAAATATAGATAACCAGATACCTAACAACAATGGTTACCTTTCTGAATCAGGACCTTGTTTTCTAAAGATATCAGCTACCTACCTAGGGGTCTTGTAGTGATACAAATTGCTATCATCTATTGGATTCCTTTTAAACTTCATCTTTTGTATTGCTAATGGTGGATTTTCCAATTTACAAGATGCTTTTTCCATCCAATTTCCAGGGGCACTGAACTAAAGAACAAAGGGCTCTCTGCAGACATGTACAAAAGAATACATTAAAAATAGTACTACTTCAGCTAGAGAGAATAATTACACATTTGATGAAAGTGCGAGCTGAATTCTGAAATGCATGCAATAGATTCACAATGCCTACTTGAATGAAATAGAAGAAAACTATCCTCAGGTGAACCTTCAGTAGTCATCTTACTTTGCTGTCACACACAGAAATTATGTTCCTATTTTAACAAAGCACTTGATTTCCTTTTAAAGCTCTTGGTTTTTCTTTTCTTAAAAAAAAATGCCCGTGAAAAGCAAAATCATGGCAGTGCTAATTGTGCATGTAGATACTTTACCTGCTCAATACTAGGCTTCTCAAACGGGGGACTTTCCAAAGATCCCTCTACAACAGGTTTCACCATCTGTAATATGCACTTCCTCAAAAGCTGTTGGAAAAGTTTTTTTAAATAAAAAGTTTAATGACTACAGGTTTAAAAAAATTGACATTTTAAAACTATAAAATCTGTAATCTTGCACAGACAATGATTTAGATTGCCAGAATACACCAAAAAGCAAATAACACACTGTCCTTTTAGAAACTGAAAAACTATCTGGCATTTATGGACTCAATATGGATAAGTTCCTGAGCTACTATTTCATAGCAGAACTGTAAGTTGCTAATTGCTGCTTCTGCTTTCCCCACTTCTTGGTAGACAGGAACCATTATGATTCAGAAGGCCATGATAATAGAGGAAAGAAAAAGCTACTAATTCTGATAAAGTTACCAAAGAAAGTAGATGGCAAAATGGAGCTGTGCGGCAGTTCAATTCTAAACAGAGTCCAGTGGCATCTTCAAGGTATGAGCTTTCTTGCACAAGGCAAATTCTAAACAGAGACATATCATTATAAACCTAGAGTCCAGTGGCACCTTCAAGGTATGAGCTTTCTTGCACAAGGCACACTTTTTCAAATACACTGGAATGGTAGATGAGGTTCTAAACTTATAGGGTGCGTTCAGACGTGCCATTTGATCTGGTGTCGTGCCAGTTCAGAAACTGATTTTATATGCGCGATCACATAGTCAACATCTGCCTCCCGTCCCCAGCTGTC